GAGCTGGGCGGAGCCAGAACAAGCTGAACCACCAATGGGAATTCTCCCTGTTGAAGCGTCATCGGTGTCCGGGCAGAGTCCTTTATGACTTCACCTGAAGTGGGAGGAGGGAGTTCGGGGACAGAGAACGAAGCTGAAAGTGGGAGGGGGGGATCCCTTCAGTCTTGGGGGGCTGCAGCTCAAAGGGGGCCCATTTTCTTTGCTCTCTTCACGATTCTCAGCTTCACTTTCCTGTATGTGCATGGAGGGATGGACTAGATGTCCGCTTAGGTTTCCAATCTCCCCCCGTCCTTCTCGGAAAGGGGCCTCTTTCTAACTAACTGGGGGGGGGGGGGGCCGTGATAGGGGGATTAGGGGATGGGGGTCCTTGATCCCCTCCCCAAATTCAGAGGCCCCCCTAGAAGGGGCCTGAGATTTTGAGATTCAGAAGAAAAAGCGAAGTTTCTGAAGGTGCCCAAATTCTTTTTCTTATATATTTTGGTGGCATTTGTGGATTTCGGGCTGAAAATGACACAGTTTCCCACCTCCTTCCTCTTTGAACGGAAGAAAATTTGGGGGGCCTTACCCCTTTCCCAGAGTCTCTCCTGGGGGTCCCAGCCCCCGTCTTCCCCCCTCCGCCCCCCAGCATCTGTGGGTCCCTCTCAACCCCTCCTTCCCGGGCGTCTCCTAACCCGCTTTGCTTCCAGGGATCTCCCACAGCACCGCTCCCATCAACAGTCGGGGGACCCCAGCAGAGCCCATGGGTGCTGCCCCACAAACGCCCCCCCCCATGAAGGGGGAAACCTGGATGTTTCCACCTCCAGAAGCAGAATTGGTGTGTCTGGACTGGGTGGGAGGGGAAGAGTCTGGAGGGCGAAGGTTCCTTGGGTCAATTTCCGGAGGTTTCGTTCCCAGTTGGGGAGCATCTTCAGCGGAGTGGAGGGGAAAGGGTTAAAAAAGAGCTTCCTTCCCTCAAAGTCAGCCTGGAGAGGAGCCAGAAGCAGAAGAACCAATCAGAATTCCCCATGATGCAGCATCATCAGTCTCCGGGCAGGGTGTCTCTCGCTTTCACACATTGGAGGAGACAGTTGGAAGCTGAGACAGAAGCTTTCAGACAGAAGCTGAGACAGAGTTTCAGTGACAACTGTCACACACAAGGCAGAATTGAAGCATTGGAAGGGACCTCAGAGGTTTTCTAGTCCAACCCCCTGCTCGGCCAGGAGACCCTTTCCCCTTCCCGCCAAATGTTCCTCCTGTCTCCTTTTGGAAGCCTCCAGTGATGGAGAAGCCACAACCTCTGGAGGCAACTTCTCTTCCGCTGGTTCATGGCTCTCACTGTCAAGAGATTCCAGGTTTCCTCTCTCCTTGTTCAGTTCCCATCGATCGGTTCTTGTCCTGCCTTCTGGTGCTTTGGAGAGCAGGTGGGCCCCCCTCTTCTTTGGGGCAGCCCCTCAAATATTGGAAGGCTGCTCTCAGGCCACCCCCAATTCTTCTTTTCACTAGACTAGATAGACCCAATTCTAACAAAAGTTACTCGCATGTGTTATCCTCCAGCCCCCTAATCCTCCTGGTTGCTCTTCTCTGCACTCTTTTTAGAGTCTCAACTTCTTTTTTTTAGTATTGTGGTGACCAAACCTGGATGCTGTGTTCCAAGTGTGGCTGTACTAAGGCTTTGTAAAGTGGTACTAACACTTCACGTGATCTTGATCCTATCCCTCTGTTGATGCAGCCTAGGATTGCGTTGGCTTTTTTGGCTGCTGAAGCTCACGGCTGGCTCATATTTCAGGGATTATCCACTAGGACTCCAAGATCCTCTCACAGTTATTGGCACTGAGCTAGTCTGTACCTGCACAGTTAGTTTTTCTTGCCTAAGTGTAGGACTTTACTTTTCTCTACATTGAATTTCATTTTGTTAGATGTTCTAGTCTGTCAAGATCCATCTGGATCCTGAGCCTATCTTCTTGGGTGTTAGCTATTCCTGCCAGTTTAGTATCATCTGCAAATTTGGTAAGTTCCCCTTCTAGTCCCTCCTCTAAGTCGTTAATGAAGATATTGAGGAGTCCTGGGCCTAAGAAGGAACCTTGTGGCACCCCACTGCTTCCTTCCCTCCATGTAGACTTAGACCCATTAAGGACTACTCGTTGAGTACGGTTTGCCAGCCAGTTTCTAATCCATCTAGCGGTGGTGCTATCTATTCCACTTTTTTCTACCTTATTAAGAAGTAGCTTGTGGTCTACTTTATCGAATACCTTGCTGAAATCTAAATATGTTATGTCCATAGTATTTTGCCGGTCTACTAATTTAGTCACTGTGTTGAAGAATGAAATGAGATTGCCCGGTGTCGTCAATCTCCACCTCAAGGCCTCAGCTGGGTCAGTTTCTTTTCCCACGAGAAGGAAAATCACTTAGCCTAAACAATCTTCACTATCTCCATTCCTCCCACCTTAGGAACGTGGCAAGCCCGAACCCCCTCGCCCCCTAAACCAGCAAAGAGAAAGGAAAAAAAGGAATATTTGATAGGGCTAAATAAAATGCCTATGCCTATGTCAATTTTGGGCTTGACAGGCTGCCCCCCTTCATTTGAAAAGCAATCACTGCAATGACATAGAATACACAAAGATTGAAATTAGGTTGAACACAATAATACAATACAGCAATTTAACCTCCTCTGCCACCGCAGGATCCGCTATGGGCTTGTAGATATTTTTCATGGAATTTTTCCACCAGTCTACACTATTCAGCTATTTACCCAAGTTGCTTGTGAAATGCCTTTCCAATAAATTAGATATTATAACTTCCCTCTGAAAATCCAAGAGTCCAGAGATTTTCTTAATCTCATAATGTTCATGCCCCGCAATGAGCAAAGGCTTCGGGGCTGCACTTTCTGCTGGCCTCAATGAGGAAGTTACAAAGGGCTTTAAGAAACTACTATGAAAAACGGGTTCTGAAGAGGGAGAATTTGGTTGTGTCCAGATACACAACTGGGGGGCAGATCTGGACTCTGCCGCCTCCTTCAGCTGCAGGGGGGACCCGGCTCTGGCTTGCTGAGGCTGGTGCTGGGCCAGGGGGGAGTTTGACCCCTCCAGCCCCCCATCCCTGGAAAGGATCCAGGCCTCCTCTGGACCCCCAAAGCTTTTCACACAGAATCCGGGATTCAGGATCTGTTTAACCCGCCTTTGCTCAACTCACCAGAACCCAAATCTCCCCCAAAGACTAGAAAAAAAAGTTTTCTATGGATGTAGTGAAGGATGAGCACAAGGAACAGAATCTCTGCTTTTTTGGATCATTGGGGGAAAGAGATTTCCAGACTGTAATGGTTAAAAGGTGGTAATCCTTTACTGGGGGAAATGGGATTACTGAAGTCCCCAGAATTTCTATAAAAATTCCAGGTGATTTTATAAATTATAAATTTATTCCTTGGTTTAATATACTCTCCATCCATCCATCCTTCCTCCCTTCTTAAATAATCCTGAAATCTTTTACCAGGAAGAAAATCCGCTCAGATCCTCTTACAAATATCTGTGGAAATGGATTTTTTCTTCTCCTTTGGGCAAAATATTTCCCCTCCAGAAGAAGGAAGTTCACCTCAGAGGGTGGATTCTTAGGACGGAGTCCCAGGGCTGATTTCTCTCCCCGTGAATAAAATCTCCTTCCTCCCACGATCCTCCCACTCAAAGCTTCGAGTTCTCTGGCAGGAACGGAGAATCTGGATCTTTCATAACATAAAATGTTTGTGAGGTTTACAGAGCTTCTCTCCTCTTCTATATTCTATTCTTATTCTATTCTATTCCACCACCTGGAGGCTCAGCGAGGACAATCCCTGAAGAATCCCGGCTTGTTGCCTGCTGGATCCTGGCCAGTTCCTCAGTTCCGCTTCGGAGGAGCCCAAAGCTTCAGGCTGGGGAAGCGGAACTGAAGCGCCTCTGCGGCTGATGGGGTTTGGAGGAAGAAGCTCTGTGGTGTGTGTGTGTGTGTGTGTGTGTGTGTGTGTGAGAGAGAGAGAGAGAGAGAGAGAGAGAGAGAGAGAGAGAGAGAGAGTGCGGGGGGGAGGGGGACTGGGGGGACGGTGCTTTGTCCTCCGGCTGAGAATTGGGGAGGGGGGCGGAGGAAGAGCCGCTGCTCAGATGGGGAACCTGCCTGAATTCTGGGCTTGGGCCGGAAGAGAAGCGGGTCTCGGGGGTCTCGGCTGGGCTCTGGGTGGAGGGAAACTCCACTGGCGATACTTCCTGGAGGGGAAGAGCGACCGGAGTCCTCCTCCTGCCCTGGGGATCTTCTCCCTCGCTCACTTGGGATCCCAGAAGCAGATCCCGGAGTGGGGCAGCGTCTCCAGGGATCGGCCCTCAGCTGACAGAAGCCCGGAGAATGTGGATCCCCCTGGGAGGGAAATGGGATCGTCTGAAGGCTCAGAGTGGGATCCGACCTGGAAGGGATCAGGAGGGATTTCCAGAAGAGGCTGGACGGCCGTTTGTCCGGAGTGGAATAAGGGCTCCTCCTGCATCGGCCAGGGAGTCAGACTAGATCTCTAAGGCCCCTTCCAGCCTCTGAGCCTCACTCTCCCCTTCCACCCTCCCCCCACCGAAGCCCTCCGCCCCCCCCAGCCCCTCCTGCATGGAGCCGGCAGGAAAGACCCCCGAGATTAATGCAGCCCCCCAAGACTGCAAGGATCCCCCTCCCACTTTCTCCGCTTCTCTCTCTGCGCCGAACTATCTCCGTTTGCGGTGAATTCAAGGGAGACTCTGCCCGGAGACCGATGACGCTACAAGAACGCAGGATTCTCATTGGTCCTCCTGCTCTTCCTGGACTCTCCCAGTTCCAAAGTGCGGGGAAAACTTCCCCTTCCCCAGTTCAGACCCTCCGATTCCTCCTGGGGGGCCGGGAGCCTCCGCGTCCTTCTCGCCTCTCTTTGCGGGCGCTTGTGGGGCGGCATCCATGGCTTTGGCTCGGCTCGCCCTGGTGCTGCTGGTGGGGGCGCTGGGCCGGATCCCCGGAAGCGAAGTGGGGAAGGAGACCCCCGGTAAGGAGGGGGCTGGGCGGGGGAGGAGGGGGTGGGGAGGACCCCCGGAGGGGGGAAGGAAACTGATGGGTCTCCAGAGCCTCCAACAGCCTCGATCTCTGCGTGGTCTCCTTCCTCTTCCTCCCCACATCCTCCCCCCCACAGTAGGAGGGAGAGGCACCCCTCCTTTCTTCCCCAATTGTAGCCGAGGTGGGGGTCGCAGCCGGGCCCCTCTCCCCCATTGTCTGGGTGGGAGTGGGCTGCCTGGAAAGAGGCAGGGAATGAAAAGCGAGAGCGAAAGAGGGAAACTGAGGCATTTTCAGCCCTGAAGCCCCAGAAGGAAAAAGAGCCAAAGAATTTTGGCTTCTGCAGAAACTTCGCTTTTTCTTCTGAATCTCAGATTTGAGGCTTTGGAGGTCAGGCAAGAGGGGAACTTCGGTCCCTTCTGGGGGAGGCTCTGAATTTGGGGAGGGGACCAAGAACCCCCCACCCCCATCATCTTCCACTGGCTCTATCGGGCCCTTCAGGGGGAGGGGGGAACGGAGGGAGGGGGGCTCTGAGTTGCTCCTCCGAAAGTAGCTCCCCCTTTAGTGAGGGGGGGCTGGAGACCCTCCCTTTGAGAGGCTCTTGGGGAGGCTGCGGGGGTCTTTTGGGGAGAGGGAAAGGAAACAGGTGGGATCCTTGCTAGTCACCAAAGCGAGGGAAATGGGCTGAAAATTTGGCGAAGAAGAAAATTTGGCGGGGGATCCAGGGAAGTGGGGGTGAAGGGCTGGGAGACTTCAGAAGTGGGAGTCCTGATGTCCTCCTGGTGCCTGTCCACGTATTCCCCTCCCCCCAAAGGAAGAGAGATCAGGAGATGTGGATATTACCTTCCCTCCAGCCCTCCCCCCACCCTTCCTCCCCCTGGAGATCCAAGGGTCCCTGCAGAGAGAAGATCTGCTCGACCAGTGGAGCTTCTGCCTTCCCTCCCCCCACCAAATGGGGGTCCCTTAGGGAGGCTCCTCCCCTCCCCCTTACTTTCCTCCCCGCATTCTCCCCCCCACTCTTCCTCCCCCTCAGAGTGAGAGTCCCACCTCCCTCTTCCAGGGGCGTCTCCAATCAGTCTCTCAAAGGAAGGTCCCCCTCACCCTCTCCTCTTCCTGGTGGGACCCTCCTCCTCCTCTACTAGGGCCTGGAAGCGATGGGCCCTGGAGTCCCTACTGATGCCCTTCCTCCTCCTCCTCCTCATCCTGGCAGCCGATTTCCTGCTCCAGCAGAAGTCCGAGTGCCACTTCCTCAACGGGACGCAGTGGGTGCAATACCTGGATCGGTACTTCTACGACCGGCAGGAGTTCGTCTGCTTTGACAGCGACCTCGGGAAACACGTGGCCATCACGGCGTTGGGGGAAGTTTATGCAGAGACAATGAACAGCGACAAGCAGATCATGCAGTACCAGAAGGCCAGAGTGGATCGTTTCTGCCGACACAACTACGAAGCATTGAACTACGAGGCAGCCAAGAGGGAGGAGCGAACGATCGGTCGGAGAGGTGACTGGGGGGGGGGAGGGAAATCCAGCCAGGTGTCTCTCTCCCTCCCTACTTCTCAATGCAGACAGCCCTCCACTGACAACAGTTCACTTAGTGACCGTTGAAAGACAGAAGTGAAAACAGTGACTTCTGACCCTTTTTAACCCTTATGGCCATTGCAGTCTCCCAGGGTCCCCTGAGCCAAATCCAGTTGCCACTGACTCATACTTGTGACAGTAGCAGCATCCTGCAGTCCCCTTGATCCCCTTTTGCGACCTTCCATAGGGAAGCAGGGTTCACTTAACAGCCACGCTATTCATTTAACAACTGCAGTGATTCACTTAATGTCTGTAGCAAGGAAGGTTGCAAGATGGGGCAAACTTCATGGAACAAACACCTCACTTAGCAACAGAGATTCTGGGCTCAATCGTGGTCGTAAGTTGAGGATTGCCTGGATAGTCATCTCTTTCTTTCTCTCCCTGATTCCTTTTTATCCTCTTCAGGAACCGCCTGTTCCCCTCCCTCTTTCCATCCAGTAGCCCCTCCCTCTCACTCTATTATTTCTTGCAAAAAAGTTTTTTATTTTTTAATCATTTAAATAATTCTTTGCAAGGACAGTGTGGTTCCGGTTGTTTTACACTTTAAATCAATCCTGTCCATGATCACAAATACAACTTTCTAACATCACATCATTATCTATTGTCATATTTTCTTCTCCAAATTCTCATAAATTACTTCATATCAGCCTTTTTATTTTTGTTCATTTTCTATCTTCCTCAGTCATATATTCAACATGTTTACAGTTCAATCTATTCATATCATTTCATTTATCATTCAAAGTTTCACCTTAATTTATAGCTATCCCAAGATACATTTTCCGTCTTATTTTCTTTTATTCCAGTACTGTCAAATTTACAGCACTATATCCTCATTACCTTATACAAATATAACTGAATATAACAGATATAACAGAATATTTAATTCATTAATTCATTAAAAAATTCTCTATCTTCTTTAATCATATTTTCAACATGTTTACACTTCTCATTTTTAGACAAATACATTTTCCATCTTATTATCTTTTAGCCAATATTGTCAAACTTCTAGCAATATATCTTCATTGCCTTATACAAGTAGATAATAAAATATTTCATGACAGATACTAATCATTCTTGTGTTCAGCATGTTTACAGTTTCATACCATTCATTAAGCATTCAAAATTTCATCTTAATTTATATTATCTCCTATTATGTCCCCCCCATTATTACACTTGCCACTGTTGCATTTTTTTTCTATATAAATAAATCCCACATCATATAAAACGGTTTCTCCTCTTGTTCTCTAATTTCAAATGTCAGTTTACTCATTTCAGCACAGTCCACGATTTTCTTAATAATTTCCTCCTGCGTAGGTATTTTTCATTTTTCCAATTCGTAGCAAATACAATTCTAGCTGCTGTTAAAACATTGACAATCAAATATTTCAATTCTTTATAATATATTTCCGGTATAATTCCCAATAAAAATATCTCAGGTTTAAAGTCTATGTTTTGTTTTGTCATTTTTTCCAACCATGTGTGGATTGTAGTCCAATGTCTTTTTGCATCCGAGCATGTCCACCACATGTGGTAATATGAACCAGGTATCTGATGAAAGTACCAACATTTATCCGATTTATTCTTGAACATCCTTGCAATTCTCGTTGGGGTAAGTGCCACCTGTAAAACATCTTATACAAATTTTCTTTATATGAAGTTGACATTGTCATTTTATAATTTTTAGACCACAATTTTTGCCATTTGTCTAAGTCAATTCCATATCCAAATTTTCCCCCCATGCAATCATTGTTCCTTTTACTTGTTCTTCCTCTAATTTAAACTCTAGCAAATGTCCATAAAGTTTTTTTTTTACTTTTTCATCAGTACCTGTCAAAATGTTATCTAAATCAGTCAACTTATCATAGATATCTTCTGTTTTAACATCTTTGTCAAATCTTGATTGTATTTGCAAATATGAAAACCAATTCATTTTTACACCTTGTTCTTCCAACGCTTGCATAGATTTAAGTTCACCCTTTTCATTCAATATATCACCATATCTAACTGTTCGTTCCTTTTTATATATTATTGGATAGGAAAAAGTTTCAATAGTAGATAACCATAGTGGAATTTTTAAATAATATTGCTTTGTTATCTTCTCCCAGTTTAGAAACAGTGCTTCACGAATATAATCTCTTCTAAAATACCCCTTCGTTTTAGTTCCCTTATACCAAAGGAAGGCATGCCACCCTAACAGCAAGTCATGTCCTTCTAAGTTCAAAAGTCTCGTATTCCTTAGTGTTATCCACTCCTTTACCCACATCAGACTCGTCGCTTGGTAGTATAATTCCCAACTGGGCAAAGCAAATCCTCCTCTTATTCTTGCATCTTGTAGCAATTTAAGTTTTATTCTCGCTTTCTTCCCCTGCCAAATGTACTGTATTTTAGCACTATTTTGTTTAAATCTTCAAAAAATTCTTTCCCTAATCTGATTGGAATTGTCTGGAATAAGTATAAGATTCTAGGCAATACATCCATCTTAATTGTGGATATTCTCCCAATCAGTGATAATTGTAAATTTTCCCATTTTATCAAGTCTGTCACAATCAGTTGTTTAAGTTTGTATATAACCTTCTTTCTGATCTGGATCCCCAAAACTTCGAATCTTACTAACATGTTCTTTGCTAAAATCTTTGTTTTATCTTTATTTATTTTCAAACCTGCTACTTTCCCATACTCTTCTATCTTTTCTATCAGTTTAGGTGCTGATTCCAATGGATCCTCTAATATAAATAAAAGTCTTTTTTCCACTTCTATTGGCTCTGTCATTCTCTTATATTAAGTCATTGTTTCTTTGCTTGTTTATCATTTTCTATCATTCTTTGGCTTTTTCCCTTAATCCTTCCTCCAGTTACCATCATTTTCTGATATTTTCTCTCCCATTTCTCAAAGTTTCCCCCCTCCGTCTTAGATCTCCACTGTGTATCTCTGTAACCATTTCATTTATCAGCATTCCAGTCACAATATCCCCCCTCTTCTTTATTATATCCATCATTAATATCTCATATTCAGCTTCTTTTTTCTTGTTGTGTTATTTGTTGTTCCTTTTGATCCATTTCACTGGTTTCTCTTTCTTCTAACTCCTCCCCCATCTTTGTCTCCTCCTCCTCCTCCCCCTCCTCCCCCTTCCCCTTCCTCCTCCTCCTCCTCCTCTTCTTCTTCTTCTTCTTCTTCTTCTTCTTCTTCTTCTTCTTCTTCTTCTTCTTCCTCCTCCTCCTCCTCCTCCTCCTCCTCCTCCTCCTCC